AGCAGCACGTTGACTTAAAGAAGTATTAATGTCCCACATTAAACTATACACAACCACCACACAATGAGGTTATAATGAATTTTCTGTAACTTGTTTCTTTGATAAGAAATGGGGCTATTCAATTATTTTCAGAATTGTGCTGAATTGGGTGCTGAATACTTTGGGTGCTGACAATTCATCTCGGACGCACACACCGGACCATTTAGGATAGTTTTAAGGAGGCCAAGGACGATGAAAGGTTTTCCAAGCTCCTCCTCAACCATCTCCTGATTCACCTTTCTAAATCAAAACAACAGTTCTCAATGGTATTTACTAGTGGCCCTGCATTACAATATTCAGACCGCTACCTTAATGGATGAGGAGGCCATTTCAGAATTCGATTCCTCCAGCCCAAGTTCTCTCCTTCGCTCTGCTCGCACTTCTGCATAGCTAGAGGAAAAAATGCAAAGAGTAAGGTAACGTAATCTAGCATAAAAACAACATCAATCAACAGGCTTCCATATCAACTCAGATAACTTTTCTGTTAAAGTCTGTTTTTTTGCCTAGTGCTTCCTAGTCTGTTTTTCAAACAAGAAACAGGATTTCCAAACACAAGCCACAAACAAGAAAGACTGAAGGAAAATTTGGAGGGCTATTACATTATTTTCAGTACCCAAAGGTATATTTGCCATCATGGACTTTCTTAAAAGGAAAGATCTCAAAAAGGTTTTAAAGAACTTTTTTTTTTCTTAATTTTGATCTGGCACAATGCTACTGTACAGTTATTTCACTGAAAGAAAAAAGGAAACAAGCGTCAAACTAAAAAAAAAACAGAACTATTTGAGGCACATAAAATTGAGACTACATTAAACCCTTGGTTTAATGGATTTTCCTTTTGCAGGCAAAAAAAGAGGGACTTTTGGTTGTAAAATCAAAAATATCAGACTTGCCTCAGAGTAATGATGAAATGTACAAATAACAAAACACAATAAAAATAAATATTAGCAGGCCATGACTGATAAAGGTGGGGGGGGGAATTTGTCCAGGACACCCAGAAAATATAAATAGAATATATACGTGTTGATGGACTGAAAAATGTCATTCTTGATTTAATAGACATTCAACAATAACAGAAACCCCTTCCCTCCTATTAGTTCATTAAACCAAGGGTTAACTGTGTACTGCACATTGGAACAAAAACTGAAATACACTACATACAAATGTCTTATACGTAATTTCCAAATAATTAATTTGCAGTATGATATTTACAGTTTCAGGTGCAAAATACTACATAAGGTATTTTCAAAGCCTATCACAAACAAGTAGGCAGATAAATGACTAAAATGCACCACGGTTTTGAGGGTGATGGACAGATTTATCTCATGGCACATAAAACATGCACAATCCAGAATATTGGTGCAAAATAGTGTATAAGATGTTGAAAATGAATAAACAAGATAAGAAACATTCAATTAATCTCTCTGTGCTGTGGGCATAAAATGTGTTAATTTTAAAACACTCAATTATTTCTACAACAAATGCACTCATAAATTTATTAAGAGATAAAAAGAATCTACCAAATCAGAAGACTATGCTATATTCATCTCTTGCTGCAAGGCATACTATCAGATGTGTCACAATGATGAAAGGATATATTATTTCCCAATAACACTTTGTGTCATCAGATCTTTTAGGTTTCTCTACGCCCTTTTGATTGCAATCAAAACTTGAAATTAAACATAATGCAGACAAACAAGCGTTTGGCTGTATATCTAGGCCTCTAAGGTACATCAGTGAAGTTCATTAAAGTCTACCTGACAACAGTATGCGTGCACACAATGAACTCTGGCTTGGAGTTCCACTGGTGATAAGTAATGTAATAATGTGTCTGAAGCCAAATCCATTGCTGTCCTTTGGTCAGAAATCGGTAGTAGCAGGATTTTCCCTTCCCAAATTGCATTACTGAAAAATAAAATAAAACGGTTTCAGAGATACAGGGAAATAAACCCTAGAAATATAATACATTATAATGATACCTTGTCTGTTCTAGTGATTCAATGTCAACTATAATGCTATTTTTTGTAAGACTGGATTGAACTTTGTATCACAATCTATTATCAATTACTGTAAATTAATTTAAAACGGACCTCTCTAAAGTCAAAGAGCCTGTTGCTTGACCTTCACCTTCTTGTTCAAAATGATTGGTTATTTTATTCAAAGGATTGTCATTTTTGCATTGTGCTTTTCCTGTCAAAAGTGTTAAATGCATGCGCTGGGTGCATATCTGTGAAAAACAAACGTTGTAAATGATCCATACTTCAAACTTGCCCCTGGATCAAGTAAACAGCAGTCATGTGACCCTGAGGCAGTAGATCCATTGACTCACATTGCTTATGACACCGTGCTATAAGCTCCAGATCGTCAGCATGATAATAATCATAGCCAGAAGTTCCTAGCACCTCGAAGGGCAAGTAGCCTATTATGGGTGAAGCTCTAAAGAGAAAAAAATAAAGCTCTTTAGAAACGCAGGACTCAAGATGTTGCATGCTAAAAGACAAAACAGAGTAAAAAGCCTGGGAAAAAAATAGGTCAGCTCCTTCTGTTTACAACACACAAATTCCCCAAAATATGTTTCACAAATTCAAGGTCTTGATTCTTTCAGAAAAATTTTGGGGAAAAAAATCAGCCTATTTACTATGAAATTTTCTCTCAATTAAGCTTATTTACCACATATTTTACTTTGACCACAACATGCTGTATGTCTTTGTGATTTCATAGCAGGTAAATAATTTGAAAGGGACAGGAGCCAGTTGGAGGTAAACATTCAGTAGATTTTAAACACATTTTATTATAAGCCTTAACAACATGTTAAAAAACAGTTGAAAGTATAATTTGCTAAATCAGATGAGTTTAAAAGAGATTAAATACACAGCAGTTTACAAAGGTAATCTGGAATGGAAAAAAGGACAATAGAATAGGAGGGTTAAGATCTAAAGTGAGATTCACAGGTCTATTAATAGACGTGCCACAGACACAACATGCTGTTTTTCCTTCATTCCTTTTGATTCCTTCATTGCATGTTGTACAGAGTGATTCTCTAATATTATTATAATGAATGGAACTCCAACAAAGCTATTCAGATAAATTAAGAAATGTTTAAAGTTGTAAGTACTCTACATACTGATTTGTATTGCTAATCCACCCCCATTTTATTAAAATATTGTATTTTACTGCAAGAATACACCCCTGCATAAGGCTGACAAATTAGATTGCACATATCGATGAGAGGAGTGGTGTGGAAATGACTAATTTGAAAAGAGAAGCATATCCTGTTTTTTTTTACCAGGAAACAATTTACACAGAGGTTACCTAAGGAGCTAGACCAAATAAGAATGAATGTGCTGACAGATACACGCGGGCATCTCACAAAAGCTAGCTGCAGCACCTTTACTGTGGTGACTGCATAGGTCACATTAAATTCCAACACCTTGTTTGGATTTTTTTAAGGATTCAAAAGAGCTTTAGCAAAACTGCACAATTTCATTTACCAGTTAACTGATGGGCAATTCTTAATAGATCTGTCTGTGAGGAGGAGATTTGTCATGCTCTTTTTGACTTTTTTCCATCAGAAATGTGGGAAAGTCGTGAGGTGACAAGCATTTTTCACAACTTTTGACATCTAGGGCCTCTTTTGTGATAGATTTTTTAAATATCTCATATGATAAGAATCAATATAAACAAATAGGATAGACAGGTTGCAAAACAAAAAAATCTATATAAAACATTATTTCCATTTCTGTTTTTGATTCAAAATATTAACAGTCCAGAATCTCGTCATTATTCAAGTAACTTTAACAACACCAGACACTGTGCAGAAAGCAAATTTCAGAGATAGATATGAAGACCAAATATCTCATGATCTTTTCAACATTTTGTTTTAGTGAACCTCCCTTATTTCACACACACACACCTATTGCTATCATCCTTTTACTGCAATAACTGTAGATCACACACGGTATTCATTTATGAAAACTACTGTACATGTGAAAATGATTAAGTACCCTATAAAGACAAAACAGTCTATAAAATCCTTGAGATAAACAATGTTTGGTGTTTATCTCAGAACGTTCTAGAATCTTTTTAGCACTGCCAAGAGAGGAAGTAAAAATGTAAATGAAAACCAATCAAAAAGAATAAGTAATATTCTATTAGAGTTGTACAGCGAAAACTCCCGTAAGACAGTGCATGACCTCACTAAAATGATAGTCGGAAAGACACAGGAAATAAAGAGAATACCAATAACCACTGGAAATAGGACAAGAGCAAACTGAATGGGTGTGTTTGTCTCCTTGAACTTCTGATTATTTGTCTTATTACAATTTTTTGTTCCAAGCCCAACATTTCCTAAATAAATTTCCATCAAGGTCTTGACAGATTATCTAGGAAAACAAGAGCACTACCTCCCTGTGTACTTATATCTTGAACTGATTATACTGTAATTAGAATAGCCGAAATTAACAGAACCATAAATTAAAGAAATACAGCAGTGATTCAGATCTTGACAAGGGCACTTTGAAGTGCTATATGTTTTACAACAGAAAACCAACATCTGAAAAACAAAAAAAATCTCACCTATGGTCTAAAAACAGGAATTTCCATTCTAGACTATGCCGAGATGTGAATTCATCACAAGGATCCTCTACATTACACAGATCCTGTTAAATCATAAAAGATAGTTTAGAGATGTGGACAAACTGTAGACATTGACTTAAGAGAATAAGAAACAATCACACAAAAACTTCAGTGTAATACTTTTGGCAAGTTGACAAGTGCAATCTGGTTTATCCTGAAATTGACAAAACACTTTCTGATCTTTCACTACAATGATAAAACATACCCATTCAATAAGGAAATAAAAATGTGTATTTAAATGACAATAGTACAGGATCTGGAACTCTTGATATGACAATGTGATATGACAGATATGACAATTCTCACATTATAAAAAGCACTTACTGAACTTTGGTGTAATGTACTCATAAGTATTTAGCTGTAATAATCAGTGAGATGGTCAGGGACAAAATAGCACTATGCAGAACTAGACAAATGTCAAAGTTTCTTAAGATATGTAGCCTAAGATGTGAAGCGCTATCCAGTATATGGATTGTAAAAAAAAAGAATCTGGAACAATTTTAACAGCAAAGATGATGTTCTTGTCTTACCTTCAAAAACTGTGGTGTTGCAAGCCGGACAGTAGCTACAAGGCAGACTTGTTCTTCTGGTGAGGACTGCATTGGTCTTGGCAATGCTAATTCAAAGCTGTTACATGAGGACGTAGGCACTAAGCAACAGAAAATATTGATACTATTAAATGTAGATACAAAAATCACCCCTTTACACATAGAATAGGCCATTACATATTACTCTAATACCCAACGAGAGATAGATTTGATTGATATTGTCCCTTCTCTACCACAATATGAGTAGTTTACAGTAGTTCATAAATGTTTGTGAAATTCAGATAAGCATAAAAGTTCAGAATACCTGCAAAAATGTAATGTGGGTTAAAACACTAATTGATCACTTCATTATAACGTATAATTATTTGCTGTGCTGCAACTTTATTCCATAATCCATAAAGTCTGTCTGAGATATTTATTGGAGTGCATCAATACAAGTTATGCAACTTGATTTCAACTGACATGACTAAAGTATCAAAACTTGACACTGTTACTTCGTGAATTTTTTAAAAATGACTAAACCACCGTTTTATGCCTTGAAGGATTTTACTTGACACCTACCATAGTTATGAAACTTAAAGTCTCCTACAAATTTCACATATTCATATGTAGGGGGCTCCTTTGGATCTATGTTTCCTCTAGCTAGATGACAGCAAAACTCAATATGTGTCTCATCTGAAAAAAAAAAAGAACACATAAGCATATGAATAATAACGCACAAGCAAGAAAAAGCATGCAAATGATCTGCATCCTGAAATGCATCACAGGAAAAGAAAGAGGTTTTCACTTTGTAAAGTAGGCCTCAAACAATCAGACCACAGTTTACAGTATAAGGCAAACTAAAAATTGCAAAAAAAGTTACACAAGTTAAAAGAAGTAAAAAACAAGTTACACACTCTAGCAAAGTGTAACTAAAGTTAAACTTCATATTAGAAACCAAGTGGCTTAAATTAAAACACCATGTACACCATACAGTATACCTCATTCCTAAATTTTTCTTCATAGTTTCACAGCAACAGGTTATTTTAAATGTATACTGTAGTTGCAAAGGCACTTCCAAGAACAATTCATAAGAATCAAATAAAGCAAAAGGTGACCTGATCAGGCATTGTTCCACCTGGACCTTGTTTGGTAAAAGTGCACCTAACGAGCTTTTGTGTGATTGGCAAGTTGCAATGCCTCACTGCACAAGCTTGTATTGCTGGTCAGAGGGCTTAAAACAAATTCACAACCTTTTGTGAAAGTACATAGGCTATAACTATAGTATTCTCATTCCAGAAAATGTTGCATTTCTTTTTTCGATCAGTATATATACATACAATATTTTTGCAGCAAGTACACCACAAATTCCTTGTACAGTCCAGATGCAGCCACTCAGAACGCGCTATATTTCTTCCAATTGCGTTACCTATAATGTGGCGTGTTGCGTTATGTAATTTACTGGCTAAAGACAATCAATAGGTGGTATTTGTGGTGGATTAGATGTTAGTGAAACGATTGCTTCATTTAATCTGTTTCTCTACTGTGCATGTTTTAAATCCACTTAATAAAGAATATTAATGTGGAATTTTACAATAATATGGAAATGTTGATAAATGAAAATAAAAACAACAGAAGCATATCTTCATAAAAAGATATAATGTTTTATAATGTAGTTGATTTGTTTTAAGAATACATAATAAAAACACTACTGCTTTGTTTCTTTCACATGGCCTAATCTATAAAAATAGTTTATCATTATAGCTTGTTGTGAATGCAATGTGCCTCATTCAGGTTTACATCTGTATTGAGAAAATCTATATTTTGTCTTAATGCAAATTTCAGCAATAAGTAATCAGGAAAGAATTTAACTTAATTTTTAGTTTGAAAAATATATTTCATGCATATTGTACTGTTGTGGCTTTAAAACCATATGACATCATACTGTATGTACAGTATATGTATACGGTATACAATTACATTGCAGTTCATTGGTGTATATGCTACTGCTTCGGTATATCTGTGGATACGACTTCATGTGATTCGCGTTTGTGGAACATCAGGAGACAAGACCCAGCAAGTGTTTTGTTTTGACTATACTATGAATTAGTCCTTGAGGCATAGTGTCCAACTGAGTAAATATGTTTCTGTAAAATAGTCCTGTTTCCTCTTTGAATTAAATATTTAACATTCTGAAATATGCAGTTTAAAAATAATAAAAGTCTAAACAGTATACAACTCAACTTACATTCTACAATTGGACAAAGACTGTCTCAAGGTGCTCAGCATTAACCGGGATTTAAAAACCAAACGTTTTCTGGCGGCATCCCAAATGCTTCTAGACGCCACATTTAGCGTTCACTGCTCCACCTGGTGGTTTTACAAAATAGTGCATCCGACAACAGAATATTTAAAACTGCTGTGCAGAACGTTGCTCCGAGGCATGTGCACCGCAAATTGCTGCATTGCCCGCCGTGCATTCTGAATGGTGGGATCTGTACATGAAATGTGCTTGGCGAATAAAGATGAAGAGAAAGAAACAGAATTATTTTTGAAAATAATGTGTTGAAAATAATGTTTTGAATATGTGTTCAAACTAAGAGATGGAACACTGATGAAAGGGTCCAGGCTACCAGGACATCACTGAAAATCTGGACACCACTGAAAATCAAATAGATGCAGGAAAGCACTCCCTGGGTTTTGTGAGTGAGAAACACATCACGGGGGTATGAATAGTGCTTCAATAAAACGTTCGTTCCCCACTGTTTTCTTATCACTTTCCTGTCTGAATCTATTGTCCCTGTACTTCAAGACTACATTAGGGAAAGCATTTAGTATCTAAAGAGCCTAGAGTACACCATTAAAACATGGACCTAGATGAAAACCTTGCAACATTTACGATAACAATTGCCAACAATAACAATGGTACACTGGGAAGAAAAGTGTTAGGGTTAGTATCTGAGAGGGAGGTTGGGAAGAAAATTAAAACACACCTGTTGTGAATTTTTTTTTTGTTAATATTACTGAAATTGCTGTTAATTTTCTGCTTTTGATCTTGAACACTTAACTATGCACCCATGTAGGGAGCTTCTAAACACTGGACTCATTTTCAGGGGCATCCAGTTACATAGAAGGATTAAGGTCACAGTGTACAGTCTCAGATACTGGTGTGGATTATGGCGAGAAACACAGCAGTGATTAAAACCAGAAACAACAGTGAAGTTGCTATAATTAGCTCAAGTACTAACTACACAAACAGACCTTATAAATAGCCTTAGTTGTTAATCACTGTATCCTTACAGAATGTTCATTAGGTTACTGTCTGTCACTGTTTAACACAATGGAAATATAATTGTATTCTTCATTTGCACAATGTAAAAAATAATATTTTTTTCAGAAATGGATACCTTCTTCAGTTAAAACTCAAATGTAGTTTCTTTTACCTGACCTTTCTAAAGTTTTTCTTTTTCCAAAAACACAAGTCACTGGATATAAGTCTATTTGGTTTATAAATAAAGTGGGCTTACAGAGGTCTGGAAAATGTATTGCTTATTTTTACGCCAACAGGTCACTGAATTTTCTAAGCAAGAATACAAATGCTAATTAATCATAGGTAATGCTTGTAATAGATAGTTAATTACCCCCCAGTACAGCTGTTAACAAGACACACAGAGGAGTTAATGTGGACGACATCAGCTACGAAGGATGCACCTTCCTTGCAGCAAAAATCTATTTATAAATCGAGAACAAGAACTCAGTTCAGTATAATATTTAGCTCATGATTAACTGCAAATAAGAGTTATTTAAAGTGAACAAAAAATTATTTGGTTTATTAGTCTTGAACGAAACGTTCAGCTGCATCATTTATAATAAAACAAAGGAGAAGCAACCAAATGCAACTTGGTTTACCTATTTTCCTTAAAGATCCATTTCTTTGGCTCCTGCACATAATCACCGCTTGTGTGAGACTAGAACTGTACATCAGTGTATTGCTGCGTCGCTCGGTTTGATGTATAATTCACAAATGCTACTTTCATAAAGAAATGCTACAGCAAACATCAAAAGTACTAAAGGTCATCCCAGCCTTTTTCATAACAGCATTCCAATAAATAAAAAAGAAATATTTCTACGCTTCAGGAAAAGGGGTGCAGTGATTCTCAGCATTTAAAGCACTATAGAGTACTTTATTATTTTCCATTTACTGCAACAATGGATTTAGAGTTACCTGTAGTGTGTTATGCCCCTTGTTTGTTCTGATGCAGCAGGATCTTATTTTAAGACCAATGTGTTTTAGTTTATATCTTTTTTTCCTAATTTCCTCCACAGAATCAACTAAAACTTTTACAAACATATCACTATTGGCACAGTTTATCTTATAATGTATTAAGGCAAAACAAGGAAAAGACATTACAGCCCAAATACTTGCAGTAGTTATCTGAAAACGTGAAATATGTTTTGGGTGTGCATCCATTTCATTTACTTCAGCCTCAGCCCCAGTATGTAAGGAGGCATGTAAGTCTTTTGAAAGAGAAGCGACCACATACTATATTCTCAACTCTGTAGCAAGAAAGGTTTTTAGGAGCCCTGGCTTTTTTAATTTTATTTCTAAGTCTTTGTTTTGTTTCCACTGTTTATTTGTTTTAACTCTGACACACCTGTATCCTATTGTCTACTGCAGTGGTTCTCAAACTGTGGTACGCGTACCAGGAGTGGTATGTGGAGTGTCGCCAGCTGGTACGCCATATGACCCTGGAATTTCGTTGTGTGCACTGAAAAATCGGGACGGGTTTTCATATTTTCTATTTAAAGACGTGTCGAATACGCAGCCTACGTACTACGATATACACGCTCTAATACTTGAGTGGACACAGAGCTACATGTACAATGTAATTCTATACCACTCTATAGGAATACATTATACGAATGTAAGTGAAGATGCTTTTCACTGCAATTAGATGAGTCTATAAATGTAGTTGATTTGGCCAATTCGCTCGTTTACGTTAGATACGAGTTTCAGGGCATGTCCCATGAGGACTTTCTGTTCTGTAAACCGCTACCAACAGGAACTACAGGAAAGCACATATTTCAGCTTCTGAATGTATTTATCGAAGAGAATGGCATCGACTGGATAAAATGCGTCGGAGTTTGTACAGATGGTGCTAGAGCGATGACAAGCCGACACAGCGGTGTAGTTGCACGAATTAGAGAGGTTGCTCCAGAAATGAATGGATGCATTGCAACATCCACCGTGAGACCTTTGCCGTCAAGAAAATGCCTGACGATTTAAAATCTGTTCAACTCTGTTGTGAATTGTATCAAGGCTCGAAAAACGAACTCACATCTGCTTTGCTCAACTAAACAGGCTCACCCCTCTCACTGAAATGGTGCTTTTTTGTTTATTTGTATTTGTTGTTGTTCCTGTTTTTTTTCTGTAAAGCGCTTTGAGAAGCCACCTTTAAAGGCGCTATATCGAATGAAGTTTATTATTATAATATTTATTATATGTGTGTGAGTGAGTGTGCGCACACGCGCACGGATGTTGGTCACTGAGAATTTCTGGGGTTCCTATGAGAAGGTGACTTGTAGGTGGTACTTGGATGCTTTGGTTTGATCAGGGGTGGTACTTGGTCCAAAAAGTTTGAGAACCACTGGTCTACTGAAAAAGTTCAAGACCTGATGGCTGGGGTAAAGTAAATTTCTCCTATTTTTGTAAAGGTATGTAAAACATATAAAACAACATCCATTAACCAACATTGAAAATCATTAGCAACCTGAAATATGCGGGAATATCACTATTAGATAATCAGATCACTATTGCAGCATTCATTTGAAATAACCTGTTTTTTTAAGCCTAATCAGTCGAGCTTTTTTTTAAAATAGTGAAAAGGGAAAAAAAGACAGCAGAGTACATTGGCCTACATTTTTGCTTTGACAAGGGCACTACAATAGGAAACAATCCAGCAAACCGATAATCAAGAACTCTTAGTTTTGACTGAAAAAAACAAACACTAAATGAACATAAAGCTATTCACTTGGAACAATATGTAAAGCTCCACTAGGCACTCACTTTCCAGGAAATCTGCAGCAATGGGGTCTGTCATCAACATGTGTGATGATAGAAGCTTGTAGACCTCCCCATGTTCTCTCTCAGGGAGAAAGTTTAAGATATTTTGGTCCACCATATCTGACTGATACAAAAGAACATGGTCATTTTTCATAATTTTGTTATAAAACAAGCTGTCTGCTCTAGAGAACAAGGTTGCATCCTATACAATATACATTTTGTACATTTATGCCATCTATTGGAGTTCTTTTGCTTGGAGTTTTCATGCTTTTTTATGCATTTGTACAATTTGGTGACATTTTCACGCAGGTTTGCAGCATATGGAAACTGGAATAAAGTGAACACAAAAGTGTAGTATTTTAAATGAATTTCTCTAAACGTCTAGCACACAATAATGTACGGCACAGTGGCAATGGTAAATAAGTAACTAATAATAACTAAGAAATAACCAGACCTTTTTATTAAGTTCATACTACACTTGCTATTATACTGTATTTTCATATGTATCTAATTATTTCACCTGCACAATATCAAGGGCTATTTTCTACCCTTGATTAAAGAATAGCCAAAATGTCCTAAGAACTGCACTTGCAGAGACCGATGTATTGTAGACATGTAAATACTATAAACATGCGAGCTGAGACCTTCTATACTGATCAGTTTCAATCAAGGCATCAAATATATTTTGCTTAGATAGCAAGCAATGTCTGACTTACCGGTAAATGACCAATAAGTGATGAAACACTATCCGACACATATATTATGTTTCCATCAGTTGTAAGTGCTATAAGAAAACCATCTAAAGCCTAGAAAAGAAAAGGCCATAAAGTTAAACTCTGTTTCTATCAATGGTGTCTTAAGCAGGTTACGGAGATGTTGTATCTTGACTGATTACTTATTACTAATCTGTCAATTGCATCATTTTAAGTGAATAATGGACTTCAACACAGTTCAGTAAAAAATATTAGATTTTAACACACGCTTTTTTTTTCAATATTTCATGCTTTTTATGCCAGACAAATTAACTGCCCAGCAGTGCCGAACACTTTGGAATTAATACACTTTTTCTTCACTTACTAAAAAATGATAGCATACACTTAGGATCCTACAAAATTAGTACTGTACATCCAGAAAATTCAAGATTTCAGTATAATAAACATTTTGCTTTTGTTTAATGACAATTTATGAAGAGCTACAGTACATCTCACTCCTTACTTTCTCAAATAAAGTGATTTGAGGTAGTGGTCCATCTAAAATTAAAAACTATTAAAAATAGTTGTTAAAAAAGATCAATGATAACTTGAAAGTCATCATACTGAACATAAAAATTGTTCGTTCTCTGACTGGACCAAGAACACAATTAATACGGTTAAACTAAAAATAACAGAGAACTTTATAAAAGGTGAGTTCTCATATTTAAAATAAGAATGCTAAAGAAACATATCAATACAGAACACAGTTTCTCCCATATTAGAATTAAGAGTTTATGCACTGTATTTCTTTGGATGTCTAAGGCACAGAATAATTCAAAACATCTTCTACTGACTTTTTGAATATTTTAAGAATAGTGAACCAAGCATTTCTGAACTACTGATCTTCTGACATACAGTACAGTAAAGAGTAAAGATTCCTTTACCATTTGTGTTCATTTTAGATGAGGGAGACTGGCCATCTTACCTCCAGCATTAACTGAGTAAACTCTTCATTACTAAGAAACGAAGGTTTCCAATCTTGCCGGATCTCACATGACTCTGTCTGTGCTGTGATTTCTGAAATAAAACAGAAGGTTTCACAAACCTCACATGGTAGACATTTTCCTGTGTTAAAACCATCTGTAATCTAGGAGGGAAGGTTTTGCCTCAGACAGGAAATACTGGTTTCCCCACCAGCTCAGATGTGACACGAGCCTCTCAACATTTTTTTCAGTTTAATAAAACGAGGCAAAAATGGTTTTCCCGTTACTCTCCCTAAGGATCATGCTGAACCCAGGCAAATGGAGTAAAACCCATCTTGGGAAACAGCAGAAGGCAGACAGAATGGATTCTTCGAGTGCCAGATGGTACTCACTCCTACTAAACTGGACTACATGTTATACATCTTAACCTCACCCTTATTTTACAGCAAACCCCAAATTTTTTCCATAGGATACCTTTCTGTTTCTGTAGAAAGTCAATTGTTCTTTGCAATATGGTTGACTTGTCCATTTTCCTGGGATGACCTTGTCCCTGTAACATAGTACAGAGCTCCTTAATGAGGACATTGAACTGGTCTCTTCGTTTCTTCTCCGATTTGTTACGTGATGCCCTTTTGAAAGGGAGACAAAAGGAAGTAATTAGAATAACAGCACTGATTAGCATAGTACTCTTACACAACTGGGCTTAATGTCCCTCAGATACATCTTTGATAAAAATGTGGCCATTAGGCCCTATTATGAAAATTTGCTTCTCTCATTGAATGAAAATGAACAATTGTAGATATATTTCAATTTTTAAATCAGTGACCTGCTTGTATAATTATCATTGTAATTATGTATCATTACTAGCATTTTGTTAATTTCCAAGGTAGAAGTACAGTAGGTCTTGCTCCAGATAGTTTAGCTTCAAGAAGACATCTCTGAACTTTTAAGTTTCATCTACACAAGGAATTATTTCTTTCACATTCTTTAAAATTAAATTTCCCTGCTGTTCACAATGTTTAAAAGTAATTTAATAGGGTAAACACAAAACACCTGGGTAATTATTAATCACCCTGAGGTTCCTTAGGTGCAAATTAAAATAAATATGACTACTCTCTAGTCTAAAACTTCAAAGCTTTAGTGTACTGTACGTTGCTGTAACAATCCCCTGAAAAAAACATCAAACATCACATTTGCTGTCTTCATGTAAAAACAAAGCTTAGTTTTTGTTTTGCTGAAAAGAATAAGGAAAAACATTAAAAAACTGATAATTTTAAACTTATGCTAGTAAACTGTAAAACTGCACTGGAACCAACTGGAATATCTTTATAACTTTTTATTAACTCTAAAAGTAGAATAATAGTTATAATATTCTAGAGCAAATTAACAATCTCAGTCTCATACTGTAAACTGGCAGAATTGTGAACTTTAATTTATCAATCATGATCTGTTTTTTTCAGGCATTTTGTCTGCTCCTAATATTACATATACAGAAGAGTGATACAACCAAATGAAACCTAAGACATGCACTAGATGCTTAAAAAATGATTCTCAAAACTGTGTGGTGTTACAATTAAATTTTCTCTTGTAGAAACAGTGCTCATTATATTCAGCAACAAATGCTTTTTTTTGACTTTGTATTAATTTGCTTTAGAGATGCATTTATCAGCTTTTGAAGGTTAGGGTTTTCTTTGAGCACAAACAAAATTACCACATACAAAATAAAATTTGGTAATTTAATAAAAAAAGAACACTTTATTTTAATGTTGATAAACTGTAGTGATTTTTAGAAACCTAAAAATTACAAATACCTTTTTGCCCTGTCCTTCTCATCTTCATCCATCAGATCATCCACACAACTGCTGGTTCTGGAAAAACACAACAATATCTCCTTTAAGTAGATGACATTACAACATAAGACTAGTAATGTAGTGTGGCTTTTGATGGCGTCAACATGACTGCTTTACATTAAATGTTTTTTTTACTAAGTGCCGTCTTTGAAAGCTCTTGTCAAAAATGTCCACAGGGTGTCATTTTTCATTTATGCAATGTTGCCCAGTTAAGGACGTTTTTGTATATAATTGATGCCAAAAATTAATTCAGATATTGATTAATCATGAATGCACTGCTGTTGTGTATTACTGCTAGAAATTTAATTAATCTCCAGTATACACAGACCTAAGCAGCCTGGATGGATATAAAATAAAACATTTTTGTCTCAGCACATAACCGACTGTACTGGCTCAATGGGAAATATGAGGTTGTTTACAGACTTTACTCATTACTTGCAAGGCTGTAAATGGTTATCCTCTGATTGTCAAATCATACAGTACATCCCTCTACTACTTATACTTAATAATTTTAATAGTATAAACTATTGAAATATATCATTACTCCAATGATACCAGCAAAAACAAGGCTTTGTCCACATCTGGTATGAAAACACACCTTTTCACTGTGTCTGTTTAAGATTAATTTTATTTTTTGGCTTTGTTTTTCAAGTAAATCTGTGTTGTCTGTATTATTTGTGTTTGTAAATTGTCTTGAACTTAAGAAAAAGCACTTTATAACTATAATGATTATTCAATATGTGAATGTCTAATGTAATAAATTATTATTTAACTTCTTTTCACAATGGGTAATGTTATGAGCAGATAGATGCTGAGCAGATGTCAACACAAAGCTGTTTCACTCTGAATATTTCCTCCCAGCTGCTTTGTGCAGAGATAAGTATTCCCTTGGGGGCAATACATATTTTTTCAAAGATTAAAGACCCATACATACACTGTTAACCTTAGGCAATGCAGTGCTCATTAAGACTACAATATGAACATTGGTGTTGTAAAATAAATATCCCGCTATGAATTCAACAGTGGCAAAGGTTGACAAAGCCAACCAAATGAACTTCTTCTGAATCATCAAACAGGAACTAGAGGATTACAAGTGCAAACTACATAGAAATGCATTTAATACTGAGAACAGGAAAGATTTTTTACAAAAATGGTTGTGGAGATCTGAAACAAGCTCCCCAGATACGATGTTGATGGTGAAACCTTGGCTTCTTTAAAAAATGGTTGGCAATCCACAGATCACTTAGCTACTAGTAACCAAATGAGTTAAATGCGCCCAATGGCCTAATCGTTTGTAAAACGCTGTAAGATTATTATGTCTACAGGTGTCATAATAAATGCTGTCAAAAGTAACGTTACATAAATTTGGAATTGCTTTACCATTCACATGCTTAGGGAATACCAGTCACAGTTGGTTAGTGACATAACCCAAGCTTGAACCACTCATCTCTAGACCACAAGGTTCAACCATAGCTCTGATCCTTCTTTGGCTAAGACAGGCCCCTGTGTTAATCAAGCCAAAGAAAGCACAGTGTGCTTAGAGGGTCATGTATAAAATGTTGGACACACCTAGTTGCTTCTAATAATGGCTGCCAGAGGATCCTTTCCATTTTCCACACCCGTTAACCAGGGCGTTGACATTGATATTTCCATTTTATTGTACAGTACAGGTTGTTCTGTCTACAGTAGCATGCAGATTTAGCGCAGTACATGGAAAACCAGACTAACACATCTGGAAATTGTGCGAAAATGTCAAATAGCGGAATTGTTCATCTTCTAATTTTAATGATTTCACACATGCAATTCATTCAATTTGATGAAATGTTGATATTGCATACACTACATGCGCACGATTCCCCAAGAACTAAGCCAAAAAACAGTCAAGCACTTAGGACTCCAAAGTTTGGAGTCGGCTTGAGACAGAATTAGCCCAAGTATGGTACCTGGAGACACAATGCTATATGACAGGCTGTCCTCTAGATGAGACATTAACTCAAGGTTCTGACTACTTTGTCATTAAAGATATCATGCATTGCTCATAAGAGTAAGGGTGTTACATTGAGTGTCCTGCCCAAATTACATTCTGGGCTTGCACAATCTGGCCTTCCAGAGATTCCCTCTTAATTCAATAGGTGAAGTAATTACTCACTTCTCCACCTGATCTGTTGTGCATGGGGACTGCTGGCACATAATGGCTGCTGCACAAGTGTGTTCTGCACTTTAGTGGTGAATGAAGTGGGTCCCCTCCTACATGTTAAGCGCTTTGGGATGACTTTGGGATGAAAAGCGCTATAAAAATGTAAAGAATTATTATTATTACTTTAGCTTGTCTTGCTTTTCTCTTTTGTTAAAAGCAGACTAGGAGGGATTTCTTAATTAAAGAAGCCAATAACGCCAAAAGACTTCCCAGATATGACAACCTGTGTCTCTTTTAGATTTGAATTAGGTTATTGTGAGTTACGAGCATTTAAACTATTTTTTATGACAGATTTTTATGTGTAATACTTAACAAATGTCTGACAATGAGGCACATTAGTATACTTTAAACCCACACTAGAATATCTAATTTATGACATGTTGTGTCATGTTATGTATGGTCTCGTATCAAATACAGAGAGCATATTTTTTCAATATACCGGTGCAAATGTAAAAACAAAAGGCCGTTTCCTTGAAAAATCCTTGTCCTTCCCTCATTTGCACAATGAGCCAAAAAATTCTATTTCCAAAAATAAGAAACACAAGATGATTGCCCTACCAACTCCAGGATATAAGTTAACCACAATGCTTCAGATTACTTCCTGCATCATATGTCTGCTGTTTATTGTACAGCATGAACTGTAGTGTTTACCTGCTGAATATGTGTAGCCCAATGTTACACCATTTTACAAAGCAAAAGCGGACAACAAACTGAACAATATGAGATAAAAGTGTTTCCACTTTTACAGTTAGTAGAAATACTTTCCAATGTAAAGGAAAGGAACCTTTCAGACAACCCTGACAAATAGAAATCCCATCATGTCCTGTTGGGTGCAGATTCAGTCACTGTTACTGAAGCAAATGAATGAGATGAGGCAGAAGACACTGCTGTAAAAGACCAGTTAAGATTTTAAGTGGTCAAAAACCCCTTTTCCGGCTTGGTCCTGATACTCACTCCCATTCCCTCCTGCCGGTTGGACAGCGACTCCCAAACTCCACGAGGTTTTCCATCTTCACTCCCACTCCCGTCCAGGCCCTCTCCGGAATCCTGCCTTTCCCATTCAGACTACTGGGCTGTGGCTCCCGAAAAGTCCCAAAATGTGTTCTCTGTCCACCAGGGCTGCCAAGGGCTGCACGAAAAATGACCAGGATCTGAAAGAAATAAAAACCAAATTGAAGCGATTCAAAAATGGGCTAAACAAAGCTTTTTATTTTCAATTCTTTGTGCAGCAAAACAGCGCTGTCTGGTACTACTCCAGTCTATTAACTGAAAGACACATGTATAGCATTATTGCTAACTTTACCACAGAGCTAAAATACACTTCCTGCGTGTTGTTTGGTTGTATTTTATGCTTTTCTCATGCTGAGTGTGAAAGATATTAGAGGGCACTTCCGGTGGCTGACTATATCAAGGTATTCTAAATTTCCTGACTCATCAGTAAAACAAGCTTCTGTTTCCAGTTTTAAAGCACTTTTGTCTTCTTACCAAGATTCCTCCCAGCAAATTATTAGAAGGAAATCCAGTTAATGAAATCCAACATCAGCACAAGACTGCCAATAAGATCTTGATTGTAGATAGAAAATCTCGAGTGCCTTTATTCTTTTATCTGACTCCCATCGTAACTTCAGGCATCGTCAAAACTGCATTGCCTGACTCCATGAATGCAGAAGCCATAAGAGTGGTCTGTGTTAAAGACGTTTCCACATTTAAATAATGCTACTTTAGTCCCTGTATAAAGACTATATTAGTAAATGTCACTACCATACAGGCATGACTTTTCCCTTAAAGAATTTTGCAGGTTTGGAAAAAGATGTACAAATCCTTTTGAAAGAAAGCACAGAATATTTCAGATGGAACTAATTTAACAGGCCCATATACTTTTGATTTTGAAATTTAACTTTGCTGGTCTACTAAGTCTAGATGCTTTTGGATTTTATATCAATACCTTCAGTGACAATTTGAGCAACAATTTCTATCTGGCCAAGCTTTTAATCGTATTACAAGGAGGGATATGATCATTTTTGTCTGTATCTGGGAATAGCAGTTAACAAAGTAACAATGCTGAATGCCAAATTGAATTACAAACATTAATTTGAAGTCTTACAGGTTTATAATCACAATACATGAGTCTTTAAAGATAAAATGTAATCTATTTGGAAAAGCTAAGTTATTGTTTCAAACTGTACAGCATAAACCATGTAGAGTTTCTTATATATGAACTGTTGTACTGCCATGGCAACTCAAATTAATTCTATAAAACAGCAGATAGAGATTCTATGTATACAGATCTTAATATAAATACAAGGACAAGGCTAGGTCATGGTTTATTGAAGGGCAGACCAAGTTCAGGTGTCACATGCTAGAAAGAACATAGTGAATCTTGTAACACAGATCATAAATCTAGCTGGAAACATACAATAAAGTGTTTAACGTCAAAAACAGCTCTTAGGAAAACTGGTTTTGCGCTATATTTTTCCACTAACCTGCTACTTAAATACCAGATTCAACTGAAACGAATGATGCACATGCTCAGGATCGCAATTAACATGGTGTGCAGTATGTATTATTAAAATGTTCTGTTTGGGATGTACAGTTACTGAAATCATGTTTCTGCATGTCCAGTGTCTATGAATTCACAATTCACAGTGTTAATAATTTTAACAATTTCCCAGTCGAAGAAAATGCTTCCATTTTACTGTCATCTAGTATTTCCCAATCTACTCTTGAGAGCTTTGGTTTCCTACTGTTGCTGTGGTTTGATATTGTACACTGGCTAAACTAAGCTCCTCTGAATTTCTCTTCTGATTTTTTTATCAAGGTGGATTTCTTGTTATAATACTTGTTTATATTTTTAAACATTTTTTTAATATTTTGAATGAAATATTACTGTCTTCAGTAGGGTGGCTCAGTGACTTAAGCGCATGAAAACTTCACTTCAGCCCAGCTGAAACACAATTATCCTAGCTTTTGTCTAGCCAGAAGTTGTCATTGTCCAACATAAACCCCATTCCTGATGATAACTTCCCTTATTCATAGTGACACACCCTTATATACACAAACGAAACTCACTAATCTCACTCATGTGAGAATAGTATAGACTATAGAATACTATACACCAGGTGAACTATCTACACTGGCTATCAAACGTATTCGTCCCACTTGAACTTTGTCACATTTTATTCTGTGTATCAATATGATATCACAATGTATTTAGTTAGAACCTTTTGCCATTGACACTAAACACTATTATGTTAATGTGAAAAAAAAGTCTACTCATAAAACAGAAAATAACTGATTTCATAAGCATTCATCCTCTTTGATATGACACATCTAATGTAAATAGGCTCTGGTGCAACCAACTCAACAACTATTGGAAAGAACCAGTAAGGGTAAGGTACAGTATAAGCAAATTTCCAAGGCGTTGCATATCTCCCACAGCACAGTAAAGTCCTTTATACAGAAATTTAGAAAACATGGCAGAACTATGAATTTGTGCAGAAACGGGCATCCTCAAAAATTGTGAATATGGGCGAGAAGGGCACTAGTCAGGCAGCACACCAAGAGGCCCTTGAAAACTCTAAAGGAATTACAGTCTTACACAGCTGAGATGGGAGAAACTGTGCATACAACAACATCTGCCTAGGTGTGTCACTCACTAATTATGCTGAGTGGCGAAACTAAAGCCATTGTGGAAAACAACTCACATAAGATTTCAATTACAGTTTACCAGAAGGTATATGAGAGACTCCAAGACCAAGTGGAGGAAGAATTTATGATCAGACCAAAAAGTGATCTTTTTGGCTTTGATGCTAAGGGAAGTTAACACCTCATATCAGCCCTAGAGCACATCCTACCATAAAGCATGAGAAAGGCACTCTTCTCAATGACATAACTGAAAACCTGCAGGTGCCCTGGGAGGTCACAGGACCTACTGTTTTGCTAACAGCTATGAAAGCTCTGGTTAACTAATCCAAGTCCTGACCCTGATATCATCCTGACAGTGGGGCTTTGCCACTTGAGAATCCCAGTCAGAATGCTAGTGACAGGATCTAGGCTTGAACTCACTTCAATCACATAAATATATAAAGTTATCCAGCACTTAGAGTAAGTTCTGCTGCTGGTTGAGACACTGGAAAACCAACAAGCATTTTGGTTTCACGTACAGTATGTAGATTGCAACAAATGAATTAAACAAAGAATGAATCTTTTCCCAAGTCAGCAAATTTGGATTTCTTAAGAATGGCCACTTGTGATCTATGTGTTCTCACGTAGATTCAGTTCCAAGGAGAATGACAAATGGAAAATGAATCAGACATCTTCAGTTACCATGTGAATATACAAATAATTCAAAAGAAATTTTATGCTGAACAGCTCCTGACCTAGAAATTTCTTGGAGCAAGATGAAAAAAAAGAAAAGCAAAAACACCTATTTTCATATTTATGCAAAAAAAAGTAAGGAGAATTAAATTCTCTTGACATAATTCTGCAGGAAATGGTACAGAAATGATTCTATCTATAAGCAAGACCTTTGGGAACTAAAACATCTTTTTATTCCTTGTTAAACTGTAATTAAAAACTCTCAGCAAAGTTGTGGCTTCTACAGCTCATTATAATGATCAAACAGTATAGTTGGAAAACTGTCAGATTTACATGGATACAGATAGGGAATCAAAATTAACTGCATTTCACAGCAGCAGTTATGCTTTTTTTGCAGAAATCGGTCACAACCTGTGTGCTCTTTACAAAACCGAAATGCTGAACTCAAGTTGGTCACCACCAAAAAGCTAAGACAGAATTTAACATCATAGGCTTAATTTTTACTACATCATTTATCACTTAAAAGGCTTCACAAGATTTTTATACTCACAACAACTGGATACTTAAGGTAGTATCCAGATCTATATAGGTCACCTGTTTATTTATCTTTGTCACAGGCCCAAGTCTGACAAGCCCTGTCCAGAGGCTACAAAGCCACCTACAATCCAATAACACTAATAATCTTTCCTCTTGCTGTGACTTGGCAAGAACCCACGCCTCAGTTATTTTTGTAATACAAATCAGGATAAAAACAATGCACTTTCATAAAGGCCTGTGTTGCTGGAAATGGGACTAGCAATAGTGTCAACGTAAATAAGCTGTTTTAAGATGAAAGTTCTCACTTGCCGTATGAAAATGAAAAAAGCTTAGCCACAGAGAATTCAGCTCAGAGAGTAATATATTTAGCATATGATACTTAACTTTATTGAATTGTAAAATGAATTTCCCAACAGAATAAGAATGACAACAATTGTTTGAAAAACTAAAGTATATTTTAATAAATTAATTAAACAGTTTTAAACAGTTTAAACTAGTAACATTAATGTTTCAGATCTACTGTACATTTTCAAAGGCTAAAATGGAGCCCACAATCTTTGGAATAAGCAGTGTTTTTGTAAACTTTTTTGCCTAACTCAGTTCCATTAAGGTCGAGTTCAAACATTATTTAACCTTGTTTAAAGTCATGTCTGTGATGTTGGCTCTGAACAAAGAGATGATCATTATGTTAAAGAATGTATTGAAACCAAACTTTATCTATTTGGTTGCAAACCCCTGACCCAACATAACCCAACATCCTGTGACAATATTTAAATAACGTTGTTAATGGATATCTCAGTGTATAGCTTATTAAGCTTATTAATTTGCTAAGGTAATAAGCAATGCATGAAACAAACATCATGATTTATTACCCACTTTCTAAATAGTTTAGTGGCTTTGAGAAAACACAGTACTTGAAGCACAGCACAGTGCAGTGAGGGATCCCTTCTCATAAGGTTGCTCAGGGCTCCAAAATTCCAGGCTGCAGCCATGCTAATATGGCCTGAAACTATTTGCTCAATGTTTCATGTATACTGTACAATAGAAATGTACATTTTTCACTACTGCTTTTCACTGTCAATACAGTTTCTTGTGAGTTTTGTTCAATTTCTTCAATTTGGCTGCAAATAAAAGCAACTAGGCAACATCCAGAGGCTACTACACAGTAGCTACCACAGAATGAGTGAATGAGCGATTGAAATGTCATCTTTAGGACTCTTTTTTTAAACAAGACGTATATGCTTGGGAGGGAACCAATCGACTAGAAAAGCAATAAATGTTCCACAACTTCAAACAC